ATAGAAAAGCCTGTGACTTTCAAGATGCCGTTGGGGATTGTGGGTTCAGATATAACATACGACTTCACCATTGACAAGAGGGACCTCGTTCAGTTCCTCAACTTTGAGGAGCTTGATATAGTCTTCATGCATCTTGCTATTTTATAAGTTACAATATCATTTTCTTATTACACATTATACTTCATGCATGTCCTAATGTTTTTTACTTGAACAACAGGCACTTTAATCAAATCTGTCAAAACGGAGGACTTGAAGGAACATATGGCTTTAAGTGTCCTCAAAGGGTGTAGAAAGAATTTAATACTGTGGAAGCAAGGTCAATCTACATCATGACCACAATGACTCAGACCAGAAAGCCAATATATTTTGCACCTTACGTGGAAGGGTAAGTGTATTATTGTATTTGAGATATACAAGTTGTATGTGTCGGGTTATAATTAACATGGTTTGTCTTTTGTAGTTATCATTAGACTCTAATTGTTTGTGCCCCTTTTGACAACAAAGTTTACTGGTTCGATTCACTCTGTGGAAGTCCATCCGAAGAAACCAAAGATGTCATTGACACGTTAGTTTATATTTATATATTTATTACTTGTGAAGTTTATAAAAACATGCTCTAATATCATTTTCTCTTATACTATTGATAGGGCTTTTCATACTTTTAATGTTGTGGCGATTAAACAAAATAGACAAGCACCAACATGGATTCTTCCAAAGGTATATGTTGTTTTGAACTAACTTTTAAACATTTTTGGATGAATTAAAGTTAATGTTTATAATCAATAATGTCTAATATTCAATTTTATATCTTATTTTCTTAGTACCGTTGTCAACAAGGACATGTTGAATGTGGATATTATGTCATCCGCTACATGAATGACATAATTGAGACAGGAACGACTGAGAAATTAGACGAGGTAAAAATGAGTTACGTTGTATGGCGTTCTTCAATTCATTTCACATTTTTAACTAAGTTTACTATGTTATTTTTGATTAACAGATATTTCAAAATACTGCGCCATATCTCATGGATAACATCAACTTGATGAGGGACACTTTGTTAACAACATTGGTACAAACTATTGAAATTTAGCTTTCAAATAGTTAGGTCATTTCTCAAAAAATTTATTGTTAGATGTTTTCTCTCGGTTCCCTCTTATATGTACATGTTCATGATTTCTATTGTACAAAGAAGTAGTTACTTCTATTTCAGAATTGTTGGTCCTAGCCAATACGTGTTCTTTGGTCTTAATTAACCCCTTAGTTCTATTGGTCGGTTTCCCTATTTTCGCATTGTGTAAAAGAAATTTCAATGCTGTATATATATGAACTAGCTAATTGATCTTGTTCTACGTATTCTACACTGCCTACATTTATTTGGAACTGTAAACTACAGAGTGGTAAAAATGAAAATCCAGCAGAATTTAAAAAAAAAATATTTTTAACGGCGATATTTATAACCGCCGTTAAAAGCATTTTCCACGACGGTTGAGACAAAAAACCACTGTTGAAAGTAAAATTTCAACGGCGATTTTTTGTTTAACCGTCGTGGAAATATTAATTTCCACGGTGGTTTACTAAGAATCGCCGTGGAAAATTGAGTTTCCACGGTGGTTTTTTGTTTAACCGCCGTGGAAAATCAATTTTCCACGGCGGTTCTAAAATGCCGTGTTTTCTTTACCTTTCAACGTCACCTTTATCAACTTCACCTTCAAAACCACAGTGAAAAGCCTTTTTTCTGGTAGTGTATAGTGGAGATGACAACCTTTAGGACTTGTTTTTCAATGGTTTTCCTTGTTTGGGACCTCATTGTAATTCTCCCTTTAAATAAGCTAGAATTATGTTGTTTGGAATTTATCTTATTGATGTTTATAATTGTGTTGATTAGATATTTTATTGTAGAATATGATAATAAAGGTGATCCTGTTCATAAGTGTAAGCATTGTGGGGCAATGTTCTGGTATAATGAAAGAGTTAAAAAGGATAATAAGAAAAGAATAGCAAACAATTTTTCTTTATGTTGCATGCAAGGGAAGGTTGTTCTTCCTGCTATAAAAGCACCGCTGCTTGTGTTACATGATTTTTTCTTCAACAAAAACTCTATGCATTCAAGGAACTTCTATTCAAATATAAGGCAATATAACAATATGTTTTCATTCACCTCAATGGGAGGTAAAATTGATCACTCTAACAATTACGGTGGAGGGCCATACACTTTTTCTTTGTTTAGGATGAATTATCATAATATAGGGAGTTTGTTACCAACTGAAGGTACTAGACTTGTATACTCTCAGCTATATATATGATAGAGAGAACGAAGTCACCAATAGGATTTTTGCTATCAGCTAATATACTAGATCTTTTTTTGTTTCTTGCTCAATATAGTATGGAGTATTTAATTTATTAACTCTCAATTAATTTTGCAGCAAACATGAGAAGAATTTCGTGTTAGATCCTTTGATTGTTCATGGAATAAAAGTGATGCTTGATGAAGTCAATCCTTTTGTACAACAATATCGGTATGCAGCATCATCTTTACAAAGCAAAGGAAATGCCAATTTGAGGTTGTGCTTAATTAGCACAAGGCAACATGATGGTAGAACTTACAATTTGCCTACAACTTCTGAAGTTGCTACATTAATTGTTGGTGATATAGATATGAATTTTAACATTAGAGACATCATAGTAGAAGAACAGTCTGGAACTCCTAAAAGAATAAATGAACTGCATGCTTCCTATTTGCCTCTTCAATATCCTCTATTATTTCCCTATGGGGAAGATGGCTATAGAGATGATATTAAGCATCGAGAAGAGACATTATTTGTTACAAAGACAAGAAAGAGGCTTAGCATAAGAGAGTTCTTTGCTTATAGAGTAATGAGTAGGGAGGATGAAATTTCAGTTATCTTACATGCTTGTAGGTTATTGCAACAATTTATTGTTGATGGCTATACAATGATAGAATCTCAGAGATTATTATAGGTGAGAACTTATCAAAAGGAACTCAGGATGGATCTATACAAGGGATTGTCTGATTATGTTATTAGAGGAGAAACGATTGCATCTTTAACTAGGAAGCGAATAATTCTACCATCGTCATTTACGTGGAGCAAGATATATGCTTCAAAATTATCTAGATGCTATGGCTATATGTCGCTGGGTTGGATATCCTAATATCTTTTTAATGTTCACATGCAATCCAGCTTGGCCAGAGATCAGAAGATACTGCAAACTCTACAACTTACAACCATTTGATAGACCAGACATTCTTCCAAGAGTCTTTAGGATGAAGTTGCAATCTCTTCTAAAGACAATTAAGAAACAAAAGATATTTGGAACAATACGTGCAGATTTGTGGCTTCATCTCATATTTGCTTATGATGTATAGCAAATTATGTTCCTTTGAATAATTTATAATTAAACTAATTTATTATTATGTATCAACAATTGTTTAATTTTTTTTCAGAGGTTTATACTATTAGTTCCAAAAATATGGCGTTCCACATGCTTACATCCTTCTGTTCCTAGAGCCCAATGAGAAGATCTCCTCTCCTTAACGGATTGATGAAGTTATATCTGCAGAAATACCTGACTAAAAGTCCTCGCCTATCTTGAATGACTTGGTTAAAAAATATATGATCCATGTTCCTTATGGGATGAGCAATCCAAAATCACCATGCATGAAAGAGAAGTGATGTAGTAAATACTTCCCGAAAAAGTTCACTCAACAAACAACCTTGGATGATGATGGTTACCTACTTATCAAAGAAGAGACGATGGCAAAACAATCGAGGTGAAAGGTATTCATTTAGATAATCGTTTTGTTGTGCCTTATAATCCTATCCTGCTACAAAAGTTTCAGGCACATATAAACGTTGAGAAATGCAACCAATCTACTTCGATTAAGTATCTATTTAAGTATATAAGTAAGGGTAATGATAGGGTTGTTGCTGGTATTTTTGACAACAATGGCAAGAAAGATTTGCAAAGCTTAGTTGATGAAGTTCAAGAATATTATAATTGCTGATATATATCTACATGTAAGGCTTCTTAGCAAATTTTTGGATTTGAGATACACCATAGATACCCTTCTGTTGAAAGGCTTTGTTTTCATTTGCCTGGTCAGCAGTTTATAATTTATTCTAATAGTGATGATGTTGCTGAATTACTGGATAAACCTAGGGTTAATGAATCTCAATTTTTGGCATGGATGAAAATTAATGTTGATGACACATTTGCCGCCACATTAACATATGTGGAATTTCCAAATTGTAATGTTTACCAAAGAAATAAATGTATGTGGAAAAAAAGGGAGAAAGGATTCGCAGTTGGGAGGATTACTCATGTCTCGCCATTAGCAGGAGAGTTGTACTACCTTCAAATTTTGCTTACAAAAGTTAGGGATCCAAAATTTTTTGAAGACATAAGAACTGTTAATGGTGTTATCTATCTAACTTTCAGAGCTGCCTGTTTTGCTCTTAGGCTACTAGATGATGATGCTGAGTATATACATGCCATTCAAGAGGCTGTTTGGGCCTCATGGACTATATTAAGGAAGTTGTTTGTCACTATACTATTATGTTGCTACTTGCATCGCCTTGAGAATGTGTGGAAAGAATGCTCCGTATTACTCTGTGAAGATTTATTGTATATTCCTCGTAACGATCAAAACTTCCAAGGTATGCATATTATATCTTTTTGCACTTAATTTTTTTGTTTCATTGTAATGATTGTTGTCATATGGTATAGCAGGTTTGAACATTCCTTTGACTGATAAGAAGCAGCTTGCATTAAAGGAGATTGATTCTTTGCTTCGTCAAAATGGAAAGAGCCTTCAAGACTATCCCTCGTTGCCATTACCAAGTGAATTAACCTTAATTGATGTCTCTAACAAGCTTATCTTGCGAGAACTAAATTATGATCGAGTTGCTCTCTAATTAGAGGCAGACAAGTTGTTTTGTTTACTAAATAAGGAACAAAGAAGCATCTTTGATAAGGTGATGTCTTCCATTACTGATAGTAAGGGAGGATTCTTTTTCGTTTACGGATATGGTGGCACTGGGAAGACTTTTCTTTGGAATGCATTAACTTCATCATTATGTGCAAAGGGTGATATTATACCCACTGTCGCATCAAGTGGCATTGCTGTAACATTATTACCTTCAGGGAGGACAGCTCATTCAAGATTTGCAATTCCTATCCAAATTTCTGAGACTTCAATGTGCTCAATTAGTCAAAATTCATGTTTAGGTCAACTCATTCAATGCACAAAGCTTATTATTTGGGACGAAGCACTTATAGTTCAGCGTTATTGCATTGAAGCATTTGATCGTTCATTAAGAGATATCATGCATTGTAATTTACTGTTTGGAGGAAAATGTATTCTAATGGATGGGGACTTCCGTCAAATACTACTAGTGATTCCAAAAGGGACAAGGGCTTTTGTTGTTGATGCATACATAAGTTCTTCCTATCTATGGGATAGTTGTACAATTTTCACCTTAACAAAGAACATGAGATTAACATGTTCTGACTCAACAAGTGATTATCACGAGATTGAATGGTTTTCTAAGTGGCTGCTAGACGTTGGAGATGGAAAATTAGGTGAACCTAATGAAGGTCCCACTGAGATAGAAGTACCTGATAAGTTGTTAGTTCGTAATTCTGATGATCCGGTTAAGTCAATAGTCGAGGCAACTTACAGTGATATATTGGAAAATATAGGATCAAATGCATATTTGAATGATAGAGCAATTCTAGCACCTACAATTCAGATGGTTGACCAAATAAATCAGTACATGTGCTCTTTGTTGCTAGGTGAAACACATGAGTACTTGAGTTGTGATTCTGTTTGCCAAGCATCTAATGATAGTGACAGCTTTGACAATCTTTACACCACTGAGTTCCTCAACACAATTAATAGCTCTGGTTTGCCACCACACAAATTATCACTAAAAGTAGGGGTACCAATTATGTTGTTGAGGAACATAGATCAAGCAGAAGGTCTATGCAATGGTACTCGTCTTCGCATCACAAAGTTGGGAAAAACAATTATTGAAGCAGTAACATTGAATGGATCTAAACCAAATCAGAAAGTTTTGATACATAGGATGGACATGAATCCGTCAGAAAGTAGATGGCCCTTTCGAATGTGAAGAAGACAATTTCCTATAATTTTGTCTTTTGCGATGACAATAAACAAAAGTCAAGGGCAATCATTGCAACATGTTGGTTTATATTTAGAGAAGCCTATATTCACGCATGGGCAATTATATGTTGCATTATCTAGAGTCAACTCCCTGGATGGTCTTAAAATTCTCATCCCTCCCAATGGCAATAGAGGAAAGAGAACAACGGCTAATGTGGTATATAGAGAAGTGTTTAGGAATGTTTAAAGGTTGATTAGTTCTACGTTTGGATTAAATTTTTGGTTGTTGTATTAATGTTTTTTGCAGGACGAAATGAGTTTAAATGCATGAGATTTTAATATTAAGTAAATGGTTGTTGTTGATGGGTACTTGGTAGAGTTTATTTTGCAAGTGATGCTTGCCGCGCATCGCGTGGGGGAAGGTGAAGCTAGTTTTATTCGTAATACTAGCTTCTATAGAGAGAAACTCCCGCCATGTTCTTGATAGGCTAAATCAAAGTACTCATAATCATATCTACTACTTAATCAAATTTAAAAATTGTTAGGTCAAAATTATAAAAAGACTGTTCCATAAGCATATTCTGCATCCAAATGAAATTAAAACTGAAAATAAACTCTATTCCTATTTGTCTGCGGTTAAAAGTTAGACTCTTAATAACAATTTTAATTATAATCATAAAAAATCCTTGTAGAATTTTTTTTAAGTAATATATAATATGGTATTCCCTTTGGTCCTTATTATAAGACACCTTTTAGAAGAAATTTTTAGTCCTTTTCATAAGACATTGTAATAGTTTCAATGAGCATTGAATATATTTTTCACATATATACCTATATTTAATAAGGATAGTGAGAGAGTTAATATGATATTGGAATTTAATGTAATTTATGAGGGTCATAGTGAAAATTATATGAAGTTTATGACAAATTTAGTGTTTTTAACTATTTTTATTAGTAGTATGAATTAGTTGGCAATCACTATAGTCTCTTACCAATAATCTTCCTGCCCTTTGTTACTTACTATAAAAGGTGTCATTGGGGCGGTTTTGAATTAATATTAATTTGTTTCGTATTATCTACAAATTAAATTAATTCTCCATATATATATTTACAAAAAAAAAAGTTTAACGAAGCTTCATGAGTCATTAGATCAAAAATTTTATTGGAGTCAATAGCTTTCCTCCATGAAACTTGAAAAAACGCCCCTCTAAACTTCCATTATTCCTCCTTCCGTCAATTAGGGATGACAAGATATAAAGACTTTTATATGAAATTCTTGCTACCTCCAATCTTTAATATAAGAGCTAATTGACTAATTTGAGTAAATTAAGAATATTATTTAAATTAGTTATTTGTAATAAATAGGTGTTGTCTTTCTTAAAATACTATTGCTAATCATGTGTATAAGCTAGAACTGTTGATGAAAACTTTCACATGTGTAAACTACTATAAGGATTATCTTGAAAAAATAGATAAATATGAGAAACAAAATGGATATTAGGATATTATATGTAGGACCAAATTAAATATTAAACTTGCTCTTCTATTAGGACAAGAGGTAGTGCTATATTTTATTTGACTACAAGCATTTGATATTCGCTTCCAGCACCAAATGTCTTGGGGTCCTAGTAAGTTTAATATTTCTTTTCCTGGCTAATTAGATCATTCAAATGAGTATGAAAGGAACAAGCAAATGGAAAAATGATAGTAATATACTCTTAAAAATGCTAAATGACAAATAAGTGGAGCTAAATTTCAAAATACTAAAGAAGACCTTGTACTACTAACAAAAAAATAAAGGAAAAAAGATTACCGACATAATTCATTAGCAAGGGAATTTTTTCCCACTAATAGGGCTAGATTATGTCACTAATTTAGTTTTTTTTAATTAACTTTAAAAATGCATGGAACCTCTTAGAAGTTACCATTTGGCCCCTCCACTAGCTGCCACCTCATCATTACTGCAGAATGAGGAATACTTGATGCTAAATCTTTGGCAGTTATAACAACAAACCGTCAAATATAGTGTCTCAGGAGAAACCTTGACAGTTTTAATAAGAACCGTCAAGTTTCATTCGAAAATACTTGACGGCTTTTCAAAAACCATCAAATTTTATGCAACAATACTTGACGGTTATATTATAACAGTCAAGTATTTTTGAGGTAAACTTGACAGTTTCTCCTTAAACCGTCAATTTTTATAATACTTGATGGTTTTTCATCATAACTGTCAAATATTATTCTAAAATACTTGACAATTATGAAGAAAAACCATCAAGTGTTATGTTTTAAAACCCCCTTCTCTATTCATTCCGCTCTACCGGGTTCAAAATTTCTAATGCCCCCTTTCTAAACTGCCATACTCGCCTTATTTTCAGCCCTTCCCTTTTGTTTTTATTGATCGTCCTCCATCATCGTCCCTCTCTGTGTCCTCTTTTATCACTGCGGTGTCCTCCTGCATCGTCGTTGTCGTGCATTGTTCTCCAGATTTGACAGCTTCAGGTTGGTCCTCCTTCATTACTCACTCCCCTTATTTCCTTTAGTGCTTCCTTCAAAATGATTGTAGTTGAAAGAGGATGATAGGATGATGTTAGGACCATTCACAATGCGTAGGAAAAAAGATCAATAGAGTAGGGAAATGACTTATTTATTGATATTTGATTCACTCTTACACACGAAAAATGGAGTGAATGTTACAACCACGATTAACAAACCCAGAAAATACTAAGCAACGCTAGAAAGGAAAATACACTCAAACCACTTTATGGCTAGTATTTGAGAGACCAGGACCCTCTCCTCACGAAAACCACTCATATCCCCAAAATGATTCCCCCCTCCTGGTTTAGCAATAATTTTTACTCCATTGTAGTTTTTCTGTTCAGCCGAATGGGTTTTTTCGCATTTTGATCAGTTTTTGGGTTTAGGGTCTTTCCAATTTCTGTTTTAGCCATAAATTGTTTGCTAAATCATTGAAATTGCTAATGTTTCAATTTTTGTTTCTGTAATTGAAATTGATTGAGGCTGTATGTTTTATGTTTTTGAATGTTAATTAATTTGTATATTGTTATATATTGAAATTGCCTGACTGCTAGTTTTTTGCTTAATTAATACTTCATTTGAAGTTAAATAGAAGGCATAAAGTTTGGGGAATGCTAAGTTATAAGCCGTTATACTGTCAAATTTTTTTCAAATGGAATAGTACATCAGTAGTAGTAGAATATTTTTCAAACTGAAGTGAAAGTGAATTTTTGTTGAATTACTAGTTGCTAACAGCTAGAATTACTAGTTGTTAACAAGTAGAATTAAAGAGGGATAAATGTGATCAATAGTTCCTCATGTATTGACTTCCTATTTTTGTTTAATTCTCATAATATCTTTGAGTTGCTGATCACATTTTCCTCTAAATGATTCATCTTAGTTGGGGACTATGGGTAAGGAATGGATGTCTAGCAATCGTCTATCAAAGGACTATTAGGATAGGGTAGAAGATTTTATTAAGTCTGCGATTGAGCATGCCGATGATTGCAATAGGATTATTTGCCCCTATCTTAAGTGTTACCTTCTGAAGTGGGTTTCGCCATCCGATTGTGAGGCCACTTAATTATCAATGGAATCGATCAAAGTTACAAGTGTTGGATAAAGCATGGAGAGACAAGAGATGTGAGTAATAGTAGTCGAGGGCATAGTGAAAGCTGTAGATCATCTAATCTTAACATGACTACATGTGAAGATGACCATCTTGAGGAGATGACAAATGCGATTGAACAGGAACTTGACGATTGTCCTGAAATGTTTGACAGATTGAAGTGTGATGCTGAGACATCTCTATATAAAGGTTGTACCAATTTCACAAAATTGCCTGCGGTGTTGAAACTATATAATTTGAAAGCAAGAAATGGGTGAAGCAACACAAGCTTCACAAAACTACTATTTCTTGTTAAACAAATGCTACCGAAAGAAAACGAGCTTCCAAGCTAAACGTATGACACAAAGCAAGTGTTGCGCTCTGTTGGCCTCAGCTATGAGAAGATACATGCTTGCCCCAACGATTGTATTTTGTTTAGGAAAGAGTATAAGTCACTAACTAAGTGTCCTAAGTATAATGCATCATGCTACCAAGAGAATGAGAAGAGCCCGAAGAAGGTATTATGGTATTTTCCCATTATGCCAAGATTCAGACGTTTGTATAGTGATGTAGAAGCTATGAGAAATTTAAGGTGGCATGCGGATGAAAGGGTTAAAGATGGCATGCTTCACCATCCTACTGATTCTCCAGAATGGACGAAGTTTGATATTGAGTATTTTGAATTCGGGGAAGAAGATAGAAATCTACGCCTTGTATTAGCCACTGACGGGATGAACCCATATGGGATGCAAAGCAGCACCTATAGCACATAGCCAGTGATTTTGTTTATATATAACCTTCCTTCATGGCTATACATGAAACGCAAGTATTCAATGATGTCTATGATAATCTCTGGGCCAAAGCAACCGGGAAATGACATAGATATATATCTAGCTCCATTAATTGAAGACTTCAAAGTATTGTGGGAGAATGGAGTTGATGTATATGATGCATATAAGGAAGAAACATTCAAGTTGAGAGCTATGTTGTTTGACACAATTAACGACTTTCCTATGTATGGTAATCTCTTAGGGTATAGCATTAAAGGGCAACTTGGTTGTCCCATTTGTGAAGAGAGCACAGATTCCGTAAGGTTGAAGCAAGGAATGAAAAATTCATATATAAGACATCGTAGATGGTTGTATCGTGATCATCCTTACCAGCAATTCAAAAAATATTTTAATAGTAATTCAAAAGAAGGTAAGGCACCTACACCATTGATTGGGGAGGATGTATTTCAAAAGGTGAAGTGAATTTGGAAAACCTCTTGCGAAGCATGTTGGGACAAGTGGGTGGAAGAAGAGGTCTATTTTCTTTATACTACCGTATTCGATAACCCTGAATGTAAGACATTTTCTTGATGCTATGCATATTGAAAAAAA